ATTATTGACATACCAACATTATGCTCCATTGAGTATTAGGTAGGAAACCATGAAGATAAGCTATGTCGCGACATAGGATAGAAGTATCTGCACCTTTCATACAGTTTGATACTCCGGCTACAGGGCCGTTGAGTGGGATTTATGATTATATATTGGGGCCATAGCAGCCCAAAGCATACAGTATTCATCCAGTTTCATAACAGTTTTTCTTTATCACTTCGGTTTTCACTATAACCTTATGGAGATCATACAGATATCTTGACATAACATTTCATGAATTATACAGTATTTTATAAACAGTACAAAAAATAATCAAGGGTATCATTGAAGGTATCATGATGTGTTGTGCTTATATGTGCCATATGTGTTTACATGGTCTTCTATAACATTTGTATGTGTTACTTGTTTCTTTATATGTTTGAGATTATCCACTGAGTTTATTTGCTCAGCGAGTTACCTTTTAACTCGCAGGTTCTGAGTTGGACCGTAGAGAGTTAAGCTACACTGCTTGCAGTTCATTTCTAGAAAGACTCCGTTCTTCAAGGTAGCTACTCCTTTTAATGTGTACCTTTTTGTCTCTCCTTTTTAGCCATGTACAGGGCACACAAGGTTTGGGCCCATTTCCAATTTTGTTAAAAACTAGTAATCATGTTTTGTAAAATATTAAATTTACTTTATTTTTTATTACAACATCAACATGCTATTATATTCAAATATACATTATATATCAGCATGACAAAGAACATTACAGTCAACCAGTTTGTAACGGTTCTCGACTCGGTTTATTCGGGGTTTACGGGTGGACCAGGGAATGGATGTTACACCCAAAGCTTGTAGTAAAGCCTGGATTTACTTAAAACTACATATATTCACGATTGTGGATTCAGGCCTATAACTTATTTCACAAATATATTCCAAAGTACAATTCATATAATAAATATCTGTACTTTATTTATTCATTTACAGTCCATTTGGAATTACGATTTTGTGGAACTCTATCTCCATAATTCACTTATCCTTTGCATTTACACATTTAATACAATGGTTTATTAATTTATAGATTCCGGAATCTTCGTTTTCAAATTGGACTCACAGGATTCTTCCTTCCATCTATTACCTTTTGAAAAGGGTAGGAGCGGGGGTGCGCGCTAAACTCAGTGAGTAGGGATTTAAAGATACCTCTCACCCCACACAAAATCATTACAAATGCTAAAATATTTTTAATCTTAGGTTCACCTTTTTAGTTATATGATCATGCAATTTGTCACACAAATTGGTAATACAACAGCAATCACAATATATCACCTTCATATAATCATATCACGTGGAAATTAGTCAATGGAGTTCACGAAACCCGATGAAGCCGTCCTCCCACATGGCCATCCACTCACATGTTGCACCAGGGAGCCCAATCCCCCATTCTGGGCCGACCGTATAATCCTCACAACCGACTGGTTCCTCTCTATTATTTGTCCCGTCTCTTATATATATTATTATATATATATATATATATATATATATATTTATATATTATATATATATATATATAATTACCAACAGAAGGGCAACCGGTGGTCTCCATCCATCTAGATTCATCAAGCGCACACCAATAGGAGCCACCTGCGGGCACTGCCGATCCAAATCTAGATTATCAGCCGTGCGCACAAAAAGAAGTCATCCTTTGTGGTTTAACGGTAACTGTAATTGGTAACGGTGGATGAACACGGAGGCGCCGATCTCCCATTTACCCGGCTAACAGTAATCATAATCAGGATCCATATAACGGTAACAGTTCTCACAAAACCATGGTGGGACCACTTATCCCAATTCCACACAAACCCAAGCAACAGCAAATATCACACACAGGTAATCAAGCAATTTTTTAATATCCGCAAATAGTGCAACACAATATGGCAATTCAACCAAAAATAATGCATGATAACATTTAGCCGTTATGATTGCATGAATGCAGGCGGATGATGCGAAATTATCTAACACTTACTCACAGTTCATTATTGTCCTTTAAAAGGATTATTCTTTTTTAAACTGCGCCCGTCTCAGCTTTTGTTTGAGGTTCTGGGAAACTTCACAAGGCATCTACAAGGAAAATTTAATAAGAATTATAATTCAAGAAATTAAATCCTTTATCGATAAATAATTAAAGTCATATTTTGATGTTTATTTAAGCTATATATATTTACCCTTGGCTTATTTGTTTATTTTGTTCATCTCTTTCATTAAGTTGTCGTAGTAATTTAATGGTTTCCATATAACGATAATATTAATATATTAGCAAACATTAGTCAATGTATTAGTTATATTAAAAATGTTTAGTTATTCCCAGTTTAATTTTTTAAACTAATCCAGTTCTTTAATAATTTTCTTTTTCGAAAAATCCGACATATTCATCTCTACTATTTCAGACTATTCCTAATGATCCACACATACATATAATCGACTTATACCACGAATGGTATTTTAATTGTTACCACATAGTGGATGGAATTCTACGCTTGAGAGTATTTGTGCAGGCGTGCCGATGATTTGCGCGCCTTTGAATTCTACATTTAAAATGACTTATTTAAATTTTTTTTGAATCTTTTGCATCAAAATGTAAATTGTCTGATTTCCACTATTTTAAAATATAAGTCATTTAAAATTTTTTACATCATTAAATTAAGAGAGCAATTAATTATCTTCAATTATAATAAAAATTAAAAAAAATGACATTAGGAAAAAAAAATATCATTTATACTTTTTTCTAAAACGGTGAAAATCAATTATATTTTTAGGGACGAAATAGAACCATTTAACATTGTTTACTGTGGCATTTGCAAGTGTTGTCAGGTTCAAATAATGTATTGTCAATTATGATGTGAGTCGGAACTTATACTAAACTATAATTCTATATTACTTGTTTTTCATTTGAAATTTACGTTTTTTTTAAGAAAATTACTAAATTTATTAAGTTTTACAATAAATTAATAAGTAAATTGATTATATTTACCTTTAATTTACAACTTCTCAAAAGAAAATTCATTAAATTGAAATAATAATTATTAGTCATATTCAAAGGGTAAATATTTGAAAAGAAATATTTATTTACGCCTCGAAACCATAATTATAAACAACCATTTTAGGAATAAATTATTTTAAATGTGACAAATATTATAAAACCGGAAGAAATAAATTATTTTTTTTTAAATGTTGACAAATATTATTAAACCGGAGCAGCTACTAATATATCAAGTATATTATTATGAATAGATTTGCATGTTACTCTTAATTAAACTATTAAAAAGAAAAGTCTGCACGTATGAGCTGTGATTTGGGTTCTGTCTTCTTTTTCTAAAACTAAAAAAAAAAAATAAAAAAAAAAAAAAAAAAAAAACCAAATTAAAGGAAAAAGAAGTATATGCGCTCTAAAAAAAAAAAAAAAAAAAAAAAAAAAAAACAAATTAAAAAAGGAAAAAGAGTATATGCGCTCTCACTATCGGCAACTTGGTTTCTATCACATCAGAATACAATGGAAGAGTTAGAATTAGTTTATATTTGGTTTTCCCAGCACGATGGCCATTCAATTAGTAATACTGTATTAGAATTGATTGTTATACATATATATATATATATATGCAAACACATACGTTTCCCTTCTCATGTTATGTTATCATAAGGAAATACGACTTTATGCAAGTCGGTTGCCACCAATTTTTGACGATCTAATTAGTTACTGTTTTAGTTTATTTAATTATTATTATATGCGAACTGACATAACAGATCATTTTATATATTTTTCACTTTAATTAAAAGTTAAATTATTAATGTGGATGAATACAAATTGGTCCGATTCAGAGGATTTCAATTACTTTAAATTATTTTAAACGCGCGGAGAAAATTCATTCGAAAGATATTTAGAGGTATCGAAAAAACTTTTTGTCCGTTGTCAAGATACTAAAATATATATAAAAAAAGGATAATGATGTAGTTGGTTGCGTATGAGAAACCAAGCGGTGGGAGCTATACATACTATAGCAATTGCAGCACCCGAATGCGAACAGTAAATTAGACATATGTTATAAAATATTGAAGTCGTAACGGACTGTCTTTACTTTTTCGTTTTATGTAATTTTTTATCGCTTCAAATTTGGAAAGCAAATCCACTGGCCGCCCAGCATACACTTCTTTAGTAATTTTTTTAAACAACTTTTTTTTTTAGATAATTTCAATTGTTATGTTTTTTCTTATGATTCTGTTGATAATTGTGGCAACTCTCCCATCTGTTGTTTATATTATTAAAATTATAAATAATAAATATGACTTAATTAATTTTAAAAAGTCATCCACTCCTTTTCATTTTGTTTGCATGGTTTACATATACAAATTTAGAAATTTTGCAAACATTTTGAGACATAAAAAATAAATAATAAGCAAATAAAATGGGACGGAAGGAGTATTTTGTTTTGGGACACTATTAATCATAATATCCAACCTCTCATCTTCCACTGATAAATTATCTCTATTTCTAAATACTTGTTATATTTTGAATTTAACGTTTGCTCAAGAAATATGTTAAATTTGTTTAAATTACAATAATACGGAGGTGAAAGGAGATTTTTTTTTTTTTTCCTATGGTGAAGAGGTAACAGATATACCAATATCAAGAAAAGGTTATTTTGGTTTTTTCAAGACATGTACTAATATAAAAAAAATTATTTTGATCTTTTACAATGAACAAAAAAAAAAGTTGCAAAAGCGATTCTTATCAGCTGCGAGTGAAATGAGAGCACAATTTGCCTCCTGTCGATCCCGCTGAGATTTCAAAAAGGTAATAGAGGCGTGCAAAGGTTTTCTAGGGCCGGATGGAGATTAGCCTTCGAATGCAAATGCAAAAGGGAATTTGACTCTTATTGATCCTGCTGAGATTTTAAGAAGGTAACGGAGGCGTGCAAAGGTTTTTTCGGGTCGATGGAGATTGGTCTTCAAGTGTAAATGCAAAAGGGAGATTGACTACAAGATTCATCCATTAAACAAGAGGGAAGTTGGCTTTAGTAATATGACAAAGTCAACTGGAAGGGCTCGGATAAAAATTACTATAGGGGTATATAGCTCAAAAGAGAGGGAATCATTAGCTCACTATTTAGGCCGAATTCGTGAAACAATGAAATTGTTTCAACTCTAATCAACTCTCAAGAAAGAGAGATATATCAACTCTAACCATCGCAGAGAGCAAGAGCTAGCAAATCTAATAAACTCTCAAGAAAGAGAGATATATCAATGGGTTCCGTATCCATTCTTGAAAAGCCTCATGCAGTTTGCATCTCATATCCAGCTCAAGGCCATATAAACCCTATGCTAAAACTAGCCAAACTTCTCCATCACAAAGGCTTCCATATTACCTTCGTCCACACTGAGTATAACCATAAACGCCTCCTTAGATCTAGAGGTTCTGACTCTGTCATTGGCCTTCCTTCCTTCCAATTCCGTACTATTCCTGATGGGTTACCGCCTACCGACTCTGATGTTACCCAGGATATTCCTTCCTTGTGCCAGTCTACCAGCAAATACTGCTTGGCTCCATTTAAAAACCTCCTGTCAGAGCTTAATGACACTTCTTCATCGAATGTTCCTCCTGTAAGTTGCATAGTTTCAGATGGGGTCATGAGCTTCACTGTTGATGCAGCTCAGGAGCTTTGCATTCCTCTGGTTCTGTTCTGGACTACTAGTGCCTGTGGTTTTATGGGCTATGTTCAATATCGCCAGCTAATTGAAAGGGGTCTCTCACCGCTTAAAGGTTTCTTTCTATTGTATTCATAAAAGTTGCATAATTAACTTCCTTTTTCAGTTTGTCTTCAATTTTTATTTTTGCATCTCAATATCCAGCTTCAAGGGCCCATAATATAAACCCTCAGTGTGCTAAAACTAGCCAAACTTCTCCAATCACAAAGGCTTCATATTACCTTTCGTCCACACTTGAGTATTAACCATAACAAGCCTCTTAGATCAAGGTCTGACTCGTCATTGGCCATTACCTACCTTTCCAATTCCGTAAACTATATTGGACACTGATTGGGTTTATCCCTCTTGGCCCTACCAGACTCTGATGTTACCTCAGGATAAAATTCCCTTCCATTGTGCCAGGTTACTAGGTACTCACCCAAATACTGCTGCCCATTTAAAAACCTCCTGTCAGAGGCTTTAATGACACTTCTTCATTCTGAATGTATCTCTACCCTGTATAGTTGCAGTAATGTTTTTCAGCAATGGGGTATCATAAGCTTCACTGTTATAGAGATGCAACACTCAGACCTTTTGCAATCACCTCTATGTTCTGTTCTGAGACTATAACTAGTGTCCTGTGGGTCTTTATGGGACTATTTATACGGACCCAGCTAATATGAAGGGAGGTCTCTCACCGCTTAAGGTCTTATCCTTTGTATTTGTTCTTTAATACCTTTTAACGTATGTCTTCATTTTTATTTTTTTGTCCAAGTTTTATGTCTAAGAGCTCACAATCACGAGTTCTAATAAGACAAAACTAAATATACTTAATATTTTATTAGAAGGCTTAAATAGCTTAATTATATATGTTGGTATTGGTATTTTAAGGGAAAAAAAGTGGGATGCCCCATGTCTTTTTGATAACCTTAATTAATGACTGGTCTTTTTTTCTGAAAAGGCTCTTAGTATATAGACTAATCTTAGGATTAGCCATGGAAAACCTTTCTATTTTTATACTAATCGAAAAATTAAAATTTTTCTTTTACCTGTGATACTTATTATTACTTTTTCTTCCCTACCATATTACTTTAGTAATTTATTTCTTATCACTCATTTTCTGATCTATTTATATATACCTCTTAAATCCTTATATTTAAAGATTGAAAAAACTGTAAACCGAATTTTGATTATGAACACTGTTCTAGTCATGTTTGGTGTTGAAGTATATACTATGCATGATGAAGTTATCTTATAAACACCAGATAAGGTTAATTCTGGTAATTACCCTGTATAAAGATGGATTTTCCCAGGGATGAAAAATATCCTAGTTTACATTGATTTAAATTGGGTATACTCCAAGTATTTATATTAGAACGACAAAGAATCCTAAAGGAGGTATGAATATGATTTGTACTTCCATCTCAGAACTGAAGACTCAGAAGGCAACGGCTGTTATCTTAAAAACACATTATAGACCTCTTAGTACAATGAACGTTTTAGACCTGCTCATCACTTTTCTTCATTGCTACCCGTTTTCACAGTAATTAACTCACACACGGGCTCTTGTTCAACTTCTCTCTTCAATAATATCAAAGAATGAAACTTTGAAGTCTAATTGATCAAACTTAATGGAAATGAAGATGCGTGAGTTGTCTTCAAAATTGGCTCGAACTCAAAAGAACCAATTACAAGAAGTCGTTTACGTAAAACTTTGAAGCAATAACTGTTAAATGACACAAACAAAACATTTAATAGATTCGCTTTTGGGGTGGGACTATGCTAATAGCAAGTAAAACGGAATTCTTAGTGGTAAAATTAGGTACCAGAGAGACCTTGTGGCCGGCGAACAACCTATTAAACTTCCACGATTGTCTAGTTTTTCTCTTTCTTCGGCCGGAACTTTGCCTTAAACACTAATCAAAAGAAAGTGGTCGTTCGGGAAAGCAATGTTGGGTCACACAGGAACAAGTGCAGTAATAAAGGTAGCTTGTAACCATTGTGCTACGATATTTGCGCCAGTAGGTTTTTTTTAACACGATATGTTGTGTAGAATGTGTATAATTCTACGCTTGAAAAAGGGAATTATATGGGAGTGCCTGCGTGCCGATGATTGGCCTCGGCCTATTATTCGCAGAGCTAACAAATCCAATCCTCTGGCGTATCACCGAGTATGTCGTGAGGTAATGGGCATTGGAAAATGGAAATAATAAACAGTGATATTTAAAAGGAGATAAAGGAAGTTGAAGATTAATTCTTGTATACGAGAGTTAATGGAAGGAGTCAAGGGTAAACGAGAAACCTGAAAGAGAAAAGCGGCCATGGAATGGAACACAGATGTCTAAGAAGAGGCAATCTATTATGTCCTATAAGTTATTATGGTGCTCTTCCAGATATAGACCAATGGGTTGCATCATAACCTTCTCATTTCCATCTTATCCTCACTACATATTCCACACGAGTAACAAATTGTTTTTTATTAGTTATTTATTCATGGTTTTTTAAGTCGTCCGGCCGATTAATTTTTACACGAGAACCCATTTATTATGTTTTGTGTATCAGCGATAAGTATTATTATTATAAATTTGAAAATTCGTATTTAAATGAAATATACATCTGACTAAAAATAATTTTATAAGGTTATAAGCCAGGGGACATTTTATTAAGCCCTTTTTGTAAATTAAATATAGCCGAGCAGTCTACGTTTGCAATTAAATTATGTAAAATTACCTTTACTTTTTTGACCCACGTTCAATCATGCACTTTTTTTTTCCTTTTTTTTTTTTTTCGAAAAGGAATAGTAATTCAGGTAGTTTTTTGGTATTGAAAGAATGAGAAAGATACAGACTCGGATAATCTAATACTGAACTGACCATAACTCACACCCATTTAGTCCATTTGTGCAAAGATTGTTGAGCCAGTTTTTTTTTTTTTTTTTTTTTTTTTGAAAAGGATTAGTAATAGGTAGTTTTGGTATTGAAAAAATGAGAAAGATACAGACTCGGATATCTAATAAACTGAACTACCATACCCAGCCCATTAGTCCATTTGTAGCAAAGATTGTTGCCAGTGGCTTATTGGGCTTACCCAGTCATTCCATTTTCCACAGTAAAGGGGAAATAAAGTAGAAATCAATTAGTGAATGATTCATGTGATTGATTACAAGGTTCATGCAATACATATATATTACAAACAAGCAGAATATATAAGTTTACTTTTTAACTCTTTTTTTTTTTTGGTCTTAAACTTTATGGTTGATTTATTATGTATTTTATTTTATACTTAATATAGATAAGGATAAAATTGAAAACAAAAAATATTATTTTTCTCCTTAAAATATTCAAAACGACTTATATTTTAGAACAAAAGAATCACACTGAAACAATTTATATTTTGAAACAAAGAGAGTATTTGAATTTGTAAACTTCTTGGTAACATTGCAAAACTTTCCACATAAAAATTTTTTAGATACCAATAATATACCCACTTATTTTTATCTCTTTTGTACGATTCCGGAATAGTAACCGATTCCATAAATTTATAATGATTTTTAGAATTTTTAGCATTTATATGTAAAATATTATTAATTTAATATGTAGTTAATATAACTTTTTGAAATAATAATATTTTTTTCAACTATATGACATGTGTTTAATTGATATAATTTTACAAATTGAATTGTTTAATAAGCCTAATTTTATAAGTTAAAATATTTAATAAATTAAAATAAAAATTAAAGGTGACACAAGATAGAGTAAAAAAATTCAAGAGTGAATTTATGCGTTTAGAAAAAAAAGAAAACAATGAAAATGTTTTTGCTAAAAAGTTAATAAAGAACCTAATTAGCTAATTAAAACATTGTTTATGTAAATATCATGTTTAGTTTTGACTCTTATTTCATGGTTCAGATGAAAAGGAAAATAATCGATGATCCTCGTATAAATTAATTCAATGGAATATGATAATAATATATTATGATTTTCACCAACTTAATAATAATATATGGTAATGAAATATGATAATGATGGCAAATAAAAGCTCACTCGAACTCTTATCGAGTCAAGTTGGACCACAGCTAGAGCTCAATACATTAATTCGTAAGCCGGCTTTAATAAATTAAGTTTAAGAGCCTGCTTTATTAAATGGAGCCCCAACTTACTAGAGCCTCAGCTTATTTACAGACCTAGCCATGAGGACCCCGATCTGTATGTTTTACAAAGTAACACCTCGTTTATCACTCCGTCTAAATTCACATAAGAAGATCCATTAGCACAAGCAGTAGCCTCTTCTGCTTTCAGTTTCCATTCCATCACTTTCTTCTTCAGTTCTTTTCCTTGCTTACCATCAATCAGCTCCTGAACTAATCTTTCAATCTCATTTCTTTTAACATCGTTTTCTATTTAGATACCAATTTTCCACTTATTACAACAAAACCAGCAATTTGTTTGTTGCTCTGCGAAAAATGGCCAACAAATCAAAGGCACACCACCGCACAAACTCTCTAACGTTGAGTTCCATCCATTATGAGTCAAAAACCCTCCAATGGAAGGATGTCTCAGTACTTCTTCTTGAGAGGACCAACTCGCTAATAAACCTCTTTCTTTGGTTTCTTGCAGGAATTCTACAGGAATAATTGCTGAATCGCCATTAACAAGATCAGGCCTTATTACCCATAAGAAAGGTTTCTTGCTATTTGCAAGTCCCCAAGCAAATTGTTAACCGAGTACTTCTTTCTTAATGAGAGGAACCAAGATTCTGTCTAATAAACTCTCTTTCTCTCTTATCGGTTTTTCTTGCAGGAATTCTATCAGAATAAATTGCTGAAAAGTAACTGCACATTAACCGAAAAGATCAGACCCTTATTACCCATTACAGAATAGGTTTCTTGCTATTCTGCAAATCCAAGCAAAATTTTCCATGCTAATTAGTTCGGTTGCATGTGAACAAATGACTGTATAAACTTCCAAAAATTGTAACATAAATAACGCATTTCTGGCCATTTTTTGAAGTCAAGCCATTCTTAGTCAACAACCGGTGTTGTTCTTATCCATAGACTTTTGGATTTTACTAAGGGTTTAAAGGGGTAATTTCTTTGACTTGATATTTATCATCCTGGATAGTGCCTGAGAGGAGGAAGC